TTTTTTTGCGTTACGTGGGCCTCTCACTGCTGTGGCCTCTCCCGTTGCGGAGCACAGGCTCCAGACGCACAGGCTCAGTGGCCATGGCTCACGGGCCCAGCCGCTCTGCGGCATGTGGGATCCTCCCGGACCGGGGCACGAACCCGTGTCCCCTGCATCGGCAGGCGGACTCTCAACCACTGCGCCACCAGGGAAGCCCCCCTGTTAACTTTTAACTTCTTTCTCTTGTCTCAAAAATGTCCACCACACGCTGATTTAAACTAGTGAACTCTTCTAAACCTCCTAAATTCAGAATAAATGGTAATAGGTGACTTGTGTTTTGTTTCCTCATGTTTATTTTCTCATGTCACAGCTTAAACTGGAAGGAAAAAAGTGTGTAAGTTTTACACTCACCTTTTGTCCTTAATTTAGTCATCCTTTTGGTAAATGCTTATTTCTGCCCCCCACACCTGCCCTCTGGCCCGAAGAGTTTTGCAGAAATCTCATGTAACAGTTCAACAAGTTACTAATGTAGATTGGGCTTGCTTAGTCTCTGAGTCACTTTATTATGAAACACTTAAACTTGAACATCTATCTGTAACAATGAGGAAATAATATAAAACAGTTTATACTTACTGATCTTATGGTTTTAGTGACTAACTCATCAGGCAACAATGAAGAAGGAAATTAATGAAAATTCACAACGTCAGATGAAATTAGTCAGAAAGTCTCAGTAAATCATAATCACCTTCACTTCCTTTTCCCCTTTTCTCAGCAGTTGATGTTTCATTGATAAGAGCGTTGGGCTGGGAAATAAAGATCTGACTTCTAATCCTTGTTCTGCCAGGCTATGACCTTGGACAAGTCATGGAAACTTCTGTGCTTCAGCTTCCTCATTTCTAAAGTGAGGAATAATGCTATTTGCCCTACATACCTCACTGGGCAATTGTAGATAAAATGAGATTATAAATAGGAATGTGTTGTGATACTGCCCGCCCCCCCAAAAAAAGTGAAAGGTGGTATATAGTTATTATGTCCTGACTGTCCCCATCTGACATCTCAT